GGTCAAAGCAGGGGTATTTCCGAGAATGGGAGAAAAGGAAAAAGAGTTTCGAAATCGGAGAAAGATATAGCTTAAAACTCCCAAAAATGGAGAAAACTGCAACGAAAATTTCTCAAGGTAGGAGCGGGGTACCCTCAATCAGGTCGCCCCTGCCATTCTATCACAAAAAGAAGAAAATTCTAGTCGATTTTTTCAAAACACCGAGGAGATCAGGATCGAATTCTCTGAAAATCAGAGAAATTTGCAGCCCAAACTTCTTCAAAATGGAAGAAAGCTGCATCCCAGACTTCACCAAAGCCGGAGAAAGGTGTAACGCTGCAAATTTTCCCCATCGGAGAAAGTTGCTGCCAAAATTTCCAATGGCAGAAGGGAGTATCCTTCCTCACTTCTCCCTAGTTGCGTCGCCGCCGATTAAGAATCATAGTGGAACCGCAGCTACAGCACAATTATGCCAAAATTTGCTTGTTATTGAACACATTGATGATCAAGCAGTTGACTTAGCTAATGTAGAAACTATGCGTAAGTTTTTGGAAGTAAACTAGTTAACTTGGGCAAGTACTTGATCATGTACTTGCAATTCTGATTAAAAAGTGCCGTAGGACCTTTTTCAAACGCGCAAGTAATTATTCACTTGCAACAAATTGTTCGTAATTCCTCCATTTTTGAGTCAAATACTTGAACCAAGTACATCGACTAGGATGGAGAAAATCGTCTGAGCAACATGTTTGAGCATCTGAAACAATGCCATACTAAAGCAGCCTGAAGATCTCCCATTACGAAAGATACCTTATGCAGGGTATGAGTAAGTGCTGTTTTGGGAAGGAAAAAATTTTTTATACACATGGTGAGCCCCTGCCTTACGTGGTCGGGCTCACTTCTTACACAGTCGCCTCTCCTCGAAAATTTCCGCGTACGCTACTGATCTGAAATATCGACAACTTTATTTTCATTTACTATTTCAAATATAAACAAGAGTAGAAGACGTATTTTGTAGATTATCATTGGTTTAATTCGTATCGAAGTCTGTTTTTTTGGGCGGTATTCATATTTCAGTTCTACTCTAACTATTTGTAAGAATATTTTTCCACAAAGATGGCCACTAACAATAGTTGCAACAACTGCGATAATAATGATGGTGAAGATGCGTTCGAAAATGCAGAGGTTAATCTACCCCGCTCCGTTCGGTTTTGGATTTTCATTTTGCTTGACATTCCATCTGTCATTTGTACTCTCTTTCTACTATTCCATCTTATTACAAAGCGAACTTTACGACAAGAATTGAGTAATCACATTATTATTCTTCTACTTGTACTTAATTTGCCTAGTCAGGTCATTGACATTCCCTTGTATCTTTCCTTTATTCTTCACTCCGGCGTTGTTTATCCAACAACACCAGCCTCATGTCTTGCATGGTGGGTTTGTGCCTATACCTTTTACGATGGAAATCTGATTCTTATGGGTTGGTGTGCTATCGAGCGACATGTTTTAGTATTTCATAATCAATGGGTATCGACTCAAATGAAACGCTTTTTCGTCCATTATCTCCCTTTAATTATTCTACTTCTTTATAATTTCATTTTCTATACCATCGTCATATTCTTTCCACCTTGTGAAAACACTTACGATTATACATTGCCCACTTGCAGTGCATATCCATGCTATCAATCACATGGTATACTAGGCACGTGGGATTCAGTCGTCAATAATCTAGTACCCACTCTGATTGAGGCTACTTTCACTGTATTCCTTTTAATTCGTGTTCACTTACATAAACGCCGCCTTCGTCGAGCAAATCACTGGCGAAAACAACGTAAAATGATCATCCAGCTAATATCTATCAGTACTTTAAATCTTGCCTTCAATTTTCCACTGAACATTATTTCTCTTCTTCATTTATGTGGGGTTCCTGCAGATGTTGGATACGAAGCGCAACTATATCTTTATTTTGGATGCTACTTTGTCATTATGCTACTTCCCTTCACATGTCTCTGGTTTTATCCTGACCTCTACAAGAAAGCCCAACAGTCAATATTGCGTGCGGTACTACGACGAACAAATAATATTTTACCGGCAGGTTCGACTCTACCTTTACCTAGACTTAGAGGTGTCAACCGTACGGCTACGGCGATGCCGTCATCACGGAACCGTAGACAATTTTAAGAATTTTTTAGAATCCGCCGCTGAGCCGCAGCAACGAACGAAAATTTTTAATAATAGTACAAGGCGCCATCGCCATTGGCATCAATACATACGCGATCGATCACTTGTTCGTCTTTTAAAAGCAAATGTTTTTTTTTAATTTTTTGGTTGTCAAAACTGCCGTCGCTGTTTGACCCTTCGGCTTACACCTTTATCTGCACATATGCACTGATGTGGTATATTTAGAATTCTCTAGTTTATCCTTTTAATCGTTCAATGTTTAACTCTGCCTTGTTGTACTCAATAAAGAAAACAAAGATTGCTTTTCGTGAAAATTTGAACTACTCTGTCTGTAGCTTTATTGTGTTCAAAAATAAATATTTAATGATTAACCCTTTCAGACCCACTCTACTAAATATAGTACGTTTTTTTCAAGTTTCTTAATCTTTGAATAACTCACGAATGCGAAATGATATCGAAGTGTGGTTTTCTCTATGACATAAAAGAGACTTCGGTGCATTCATCCATACAAGATTTATTATTCTAATGAAGTCACTCTGGTAGTAAGCCTGATGGATCTTTGGAATACTACTTCTATTCTGAAAACAAGCAGGGAGAATTATGCCCTTTTGTAGCCCGTGAAAGACTTCGATTTTGTCTTATTGAAATCAAGTTAGAAGTGGCTCCTAATGATATTTCAAATGCTGATTTGGCAACAGCTCTCAATCGAATTTTGGCCTACATCCGTACTTCCTCACGGGGATGACCAAAATACTTCTTCGTCATCTCTGTGGGGAAGTACGGGTATGTATCGAAAATGACTTTAAAGATTTTTTAAAAAGTTTTGATGAAAATATCGACAATGCATAACGTTCATATTAAATATAAAATCTCAAAGAAATTTCGTCCATTGGCTGAGCTATGGACCTGATAGGGTTAATATTATATAGTAAAGTGGAATTGGAGTGCGATTATCTCGCAAGAAAATGGTCCAGGTCGAACACTACGACACATAAACGGTTGTATACGCCTAATTACGGTAATTTTTGGCCTGGAACAGATGACCGTTTATGGTGCACCGTACTACGGTTCAATTACGATGTAATACGATGTCGTATACGGTGTTCGTGTACGGTGCTCTGTAAACGGGCCGTATTCGACCGCCGTATACGTGCCGTATGTGTACCATGCTACGAAAATGCGTATACGGTTGCCGTTTATGTGCCATAACTACGCCGTATTTACGTCGCACTATTAAAATGCATAATATTCATCGTTAGCTACCATGTAATCCAAGACAATCAATAGGTACTCTTGCGTCCTATCTAACGCTGTCAAGCTTTCATGATCTAATATCTCTAGGACCTGTTTCCTGATTAAAACAAAACTTATATAGATTTGTGCCCTGTTAAAAAAATCTTTGTTTTGTTCATACAAAGTATCAGTTAACTTTTTCGACGTGTTTTACATATCAACCGATAGTTTATATTGAGCTCTATCCAGCACACTCAGCTGTACCGTTAGAAAATATCTCTGGACTACGTTTCATGGCTGCCAATTGAAAATAAATATTTAAAATTCAAATATATATCTTGAGATCTGTTATGCCGTATCATGTATTCAAAAGAAGTATATTTGTATCAGATTGGAACAGAAGTTCTGCACGTTTGGATCAGTAGAATTATATTGCCAATATAAAACTATATTTTAAGAAAAATAATTATATATTCTAATAGCACTTGGAATTCTCCATCATCCTGTGTATTTCAGTCTTTACTTGCATTTGCTGAAAAGTATTTCGAGTACAGTGAAGATACCCTCACCCGCATTGACAATGTTCGAAATATTTTTCGACAAATAAGTCCAAGCCAAGACTTGAATATACAGGGTAATAGAGCATTTCAAAGGCTCTCAGAATATATAATTATTGTTCTAAAAAACGGATTACTGTATAGATAAAAATTTTAAAAACACATGAAAAAGGAACAAAAAATGGAGTTCGTGAGAATCTGAGGATATGAGTATTTTTACTGTATTCGAAATATTTTTCAGCAAATAAATACAAGTCAAGACTTAAATACACAGGATGATAGGGAATTCCGAGCGCTATCAGAATATATAATTAATTTCGTTAAAATGTATATAGTTTTATATTGGCAATATAATTCTACTGATCCAAACGTGCAGAACTTCTGTTCCAATCTGATATATAAGGAAAATACTTGATTGATATTAATATATTTTATGATCTTCAACTAGGTTTGACCATTTTTTTATTGTTAATAATCATTTCATTTAATATTTTCATCTAATATTTAATTTTTTTGTTGATTATTTACATAATAAACAAGAAAAACAACTGTTCAAAATGAACAATAGAAAAAAAACGGATATTAATCATTTTCATCATTATCATTATCATCATCTGGATCTTCAATAATATAATCAGTTGAATCAATTTCTTGTTGAATTGTTTGATCATAATTTTGCATAATATCCATAAGATAAGTTGGTATCGATGGATTGGCTGATAAAATTTGTTGATGTTGTTGTTGTTGTTGTTCTTGTGTTTGTATATTAAGAAAACAAAATTTAATTAAATAATTATTACTATGATTTGGGTCACGAACTAAACCAAATGATTGATCAAATATTCCAATACATGTATTATGTTGATGAATTGTTCCATGAATTTGTATTAGAACAAGACCATGCTTTGATTCTTTAACTTTATTTGATTGTAAATTTGGACAAAAACGTAATTCTCTATTAGCAACATATGAACGAAGAACATCACAAACATAATATGCACCCAAAATTCGACGATGATTTTCATGTATAAGAGTTAATTGACAATCGGGAAAAAAATGATCAGATTGAAATGTTGATAAATTATTCCATGATGTATAAAACCATTCAGTAAATTGAATTGATAATTGATTAATACTTGGTAATGTAATTGAAGATGAAACATTGTTTGATGTTGATTGAGAACCTTTATTCCAAAAATCTATTATCTGTTTTATAAGTTTTACCTAAAATAGAAAGAAAAAGTATTGTAAAATAATCATTTCAATTGATAATTTAAATAATAAAAACTATTTTATATTTTGCAACTAAGAAAGATAGGATTTCAGTTAAAATCAAGTCACCACAATGACCTCTATATACTAGAGTCCATCGATTCCAAAATTTTCTGATCCGAACTCGAACCCGATCGTGCCGTACTTTTATATTTTCAGTGGAATGTTCTAATCGAAATTGGATAGTTGCCCCGAACATACGAGATACCCTTTTTTCCATGTTTTTGTATTCGGTGACTAGCACATCATACACATTTCTCAGACGACTAGAACTCATCGCGTCCAAAATTTTCGAATTCGGAATCACTCTGACAAGCTCTAATAGACACCGTTTGGTGTGGGTATCTTTTTTACGTTTTATCCTTCGAATAAAAAAAGCTAAAATATCGCAGGTCCTCTTGAAAAGGCATGTTTTTTATGTAATAAGACCTACCAAAACTAAGCAGAACAATATTTTTTTTAAACAAACAAAAATATCCATCCTAAACAGTGTATCTGAAAAAAGTTTTCAGCTCGATCGGATGTACTAGGCCGGAGAAACGGGGGAGCTTCTGCACTTTTTTTTTTCATGAAAAAGTTGATTTAAGAAAAATATGAAACAATGCACAGTTATTGCTGATTCAATTAATAGATACTACTTCAAACTAATGGGGTATCGGAAAGTTTTTATATTTTCACTATTGCGATGCGAAACCGAACCTTCGGATCTTTATTTATATATCAGTTTGTAGATGAAAAGCTACTCTACAAAATGCACTATTTTTGTTTTTCAACAAGTCATCTCTATTTTCGTCTTTTTTTAAATATTCATTTTTGAAAAATCGACAACCATTTCATGTTGAAAGGAGTTCTTGAAAAAAATTCTTGGGTAAAAACTACAGCTTAGTTTAATATCATATTTTGTGGAGAAATGTCCATTCTACGAAA